TGTGTCTTCAGGCTGGAGGAGTGCAGGATCATATGAAGTAAAGTAAAGGAAGTGAAGTGTGTGTTTGTGTCTTCAGACTGGAGGAGTGCAGGATCATATGAAGTAAAGTAAAATAAAGTAAAGTGAAGTGTGTGTTTGTGTCTTCAGACTGGAGGAGTGCAGGATCATGTCATCAGCGAAGCGCCCCCTGTGGTTGAACTGGGAGAATCCTGACATTATGTCTGAGCTGCTCTTCACCAACAACGAGATCATCTTCAAGAACGGAGACGGTAGCTAGCTCAGTGCTAACGGGAGAACTCTTGGATTGTGGGTAATGTAGTGTGTAACCTGTGTGTGTGTGTATGTGTTGCAGACCTGCGTCAGGACATGCTGACTTTGCAGATCATTAAGATCATGGAGAACATCTGGCAGAACCAGGGCCTGGACCTGCGGTGAGAACCTGTGACATCATCAGTGGCTTCAGCTCTGACATCATGAAGCACCTGGCTAACGGAGCGTGTGTGTCTGTGTGTGTGTGAGGCAGCATGCTGCCGTATGGCTGTCTGTCCATTGGAGACTGTGTGGGACTGATCGAGGTGGTGAAGAACAGTTTCACCATCATGCAGATCCAGTGTAAAGGAGGCCTGAAGGGGGCGCTGCAGTTCAACTCCAACACACTGCACCACTGGATCAAAGACAAGAACAGAGGAGAGGCGTCAGTACCTGTCTGTCTGAATACCTGTCTGTCTGAGTTAATTAACGTCTCTAATTCATTGTTTGGACAAACATTATTTTAAAGGATCAATTATATCATAAAGCCTCATTTTGTTGCTCAGCGACCATGTGAATGATGATGTCACAGGTGGATTTTAAAACGCTCTCCAAAAACTTCTCAAATGTTGATTTATTTATTGTAAAAACAACAAAAAGGATAAAGAAATGTTGCCACATAAATGGTGAATTAATTTAATAAAAAATAAAAAGGATGTTACCAAAGCATCAAAGTAAAATACAAACTATAATATTTATGAATGATATTAATTAATTATATTAATTTATTAAGTTATATAATAATATATGTATATTTCATGTCTCTCTCTGTCTGTCTCCTCCTATCTGTCTCTCTCCCTGTCTGTCTCTCTCCCTGTCTGTCTCTCTCCCTGTCTCTCTCCCTGTCTGTCTCTCAGGTACGACCGAGCCATTGACCTGTTCACCAGGTCCTGTGCAGGTTACTGTGTTGCGACTTTCATCCTCGGAATCGGAGACCGACACAACTCCAACATCATGGTGAAGGAGAACGGGCAGGTGAGCTCCGAACTCCTAACTCCTCCCTCTAAATCCTCCCCCTGTATCCCCCTAACTCCCCCTAACTCCTCCCTAACTCTCCCTAATGGTGCGTTTACAACAAACGCGGCGCAAATTGTTCGCGCCGCGTTTGGTGTGAACACGGCATAACTCCTTCTAACTCCCGCCTAGCTGTGACGGTTCACGGTTTACCGTGTGGGTTTAGGAGTGGATCAGAGACTCAGGCGCAGACTTAGACACAGGACACAAGGTGAGGTGAATTGCAAGGCTCTTTACTGGGCATCAAGCAAACAAAAATAGAAACCAAAAACAACTTCAATAGGGAGTGAGAAAAATCCAAACTGAAAATAAAAGGCAAAGTCACAAAAGGGCTTGGTCACCAAAAGCACAGACACAAACCGTGGGGCGCAGAGGGTCAACACAAAGGAATAACCACAGGCGAGCGAAGAGTCCACGGGAAGGGAAAAGGAACAAATGATAATCCGGCAACTGGAACAGGGCAAGCAGGGGAGTATAAGTAGGAGAGGGTTGATGAGCGGATTGCCGGCAGGTGAGTAAAGATGACGGGTTTGCAAAGGGAAAAGCCAGGGCAGGTGATTTGGCACAAGTGGAGAGAATGAGCATGATCAGGAAACACACACACACACACACACATAGCAAAACCCAACCCTGAGACTAACTCCTCCCTAACTGCTCTTGACAGCCCCTAACTCCTCTGTTAGAAAAATTCACTCGAGACCAATGTAAAAATCATTATCACAGGACATTTATTCTTTCAAGAAGGAACAGAGTTGATTCACAAACGGGTTATGCATCAAGGCTGCTCAGAGGTCTGTCTCTGAGTCTCTGATATTTATACTGAGGATAACAGGCGAGTGCGTTCGCACAGAGGCATTTGCATAATATCTCGTACATCACTTTGGAGCTGTTTCTTTGACAATTCATTCTGTCAAAGGGTCACCTTATCCCAATCAGTGAACGTCATGGTTGCAAATCAGCTCTGCGTAAACATTGACGTGTTCGACAGGTTTATTATCTCTTATTTAGGACAAACAGCTGAAATGCTCATCAAGTAGACAACGGTGATATCTAACCGTGATAAACCATCTGAGACACTTAGTGTCAGATGAAGTTCACACAAAGATTCACATGAGGACACAGGCCTTCCCAACATCCCCCTAACTCCTCCCTAACTCCTCTTGACTCCCCCTAGCTCCTCCCTAACTCCTCTTGACTCCCCCTAACCCTCCTAACTCCCCCTAACTTCTCTTGACTCCCCCTAGCTCCTCCCTAACTCATCTTGACTCTCCCTAACTCCTCTTCACTCCCCCTAACTTCTCCTCCTCTCCTCCCTCCAGCTGTTCCACATCGACTTCGGTCACTTCCTGGACCACAAGAAGAAGAAGTTCGGGTACAAGAGGGAGCGAGTTCCCTTCGTTCTGACTCAGGACTTCCTGATCGTCATTAGTAAAGGAGTCCAGGAGTCCACCAAGACCAAGGAGTTCGAGAGGTCTCACCTGCTCCTCACCTGTCTAATGCCGTTCCTCCTGTGTCACCTCCTGCCCGTCTCACTCTCTGTTTACATGTCTGTGGTTCAGGTTCCAGGAGATGTGTTATAAAGCCTACCTGGCCATCCGACAGCACGCCAGCCTCTTCATCAACCTGTTCTCCCTCCTGCTGGGCTGCGGGATGCCCGAGCTGCAGAGCTTCGACGACATCGCCTACCTGAGGAAAACGCTGGCTCTGGGTAAGACAGACAGGTGGAGAGGGAGACAGGCAGAAAGACAAGAGATGTAAAGTTAGTTTTTCTCAGGAAGGTTCCTAACTGAATGACCTGAAGTATCTAAAGAGTCATGATGAAAGCTGGTTGGCTCCTTTAAATGTTAAGGAAAGGTGCTTCAGTGCTTCCTTCCTTATCTCCTTGAGCATAGGATACACTGGGCCATCCTTTACCAAAGGAAAGGAGATAGGGCCGCTGCACGATTCCAACCATGGTAATGAAGCAGTGGCGGGCCGTCAGGGCCTGCAAGGCCTTCTCTGCTGGCCTAAACAGAATCACAAAGCTATATATATTTAAAAAAAAAAAAAAAAAAAAAAAATATTAAAAAAAATCTATTTCATAATTTAATATTTTTTCTTAAATACACTACATGTATTATAATTTATAAAAATATTTTTTCCCATTATCTTATTTTCTCATTGCACAGCTACTGTCTTCCTCAGTTGCTCTGCTTCCAGTGCAGCTTGTTTTAAGTAGAGCTTTTATCCAATCAGATTTCACCTCTGTGTCTCTAGGTAAGAACAGAGGCCAGAGGCCTGCAGAGTCTCACCTGCAGCCAGTGCAGATTAAAGTAAATGGGGACGATATTGTTGATTGTCATAGTGTTCAACCAATCAGATCTTTAGTTTGACATGTAGGGCGTATTCTTTGACTAGCAGAGCCTGCGCTCCGGCCTATAATGACTTCAGCATTACATGCCGCTCAATGTCCGTGTGTAGCTTTCCCGCGAGGTACAGAGTGTGCTGTGATTGGTCAGTGGGCGAGCACGAAACGAAATTTAACAGCCAGCAGAGGCTGATGGGTAGTGAATCACATCACGTGATGCAGCTCAGCCAATCAAAATGTATTCTGACTGAGTGAGATGCACCATGACAGAGGAACCTGAGCCGAGGAAAGAGATTGCAGAGCAGTACGTTCAACATTAGGGTTGTGAAAGTAAAATCCTATGATAATCTCTGTGGCTTGTGGCTTGTCATTAAGGAATGACGGTGGATCCCACAGCCAGACCAGCCGAGAACATTATATTTTATCTGAATTTAGGTTTTTGCATTTTTTAAATGCTCTAGCATTATTCACACGACTCGTACCGAACGGTTTAATACGAAGATGTACATAGTTACAGCCTTGAAAATGAATAACAGCTGTGGCGCCACAATGTGGTTATAAGGTGGTATTTCAGCTGCAGGACAGCAGTGAAGGCCCAGGTGTGAAATGCACGGCCCGCCACTGTAATGAAGTAATGAGGTTTTGATGATATGATAATCCTTTATAAGCGTTAGCGTTAGCTTTAGCCCTTTGAATGAATTCATGAATTCTCCCTCACATTTTTGAGGTGGAGGGTCATTAAAAGACATTATGATGTCAACATCTGTTCTGTTTTCATCTCACTAACTGTGATGTCATTTCAGATCCTGAAGTCATCTCGTTCATTTCATCTGGTTTTACCTTCATGCCTCCTAACCTGCTTCCTCCCTCATCAGTCCGTCAGTATTTAAATCATTTATATAATTATATATAGATTGATATTCAGATCTATATATAGATATATTTATCTTGTGTCATTCACTAGTTATTTGACAAGTAACAAAATATATGAAAATTTAAAACAAATTTAAAAACAAAAACAAATCTTAGATGAAATACAAAGAAAACTAAACTATTAAAAATGTATTTCAAGATGAAAATGAGACCAAAGAAAAGGAAAAGTAAACTTTGAGTACAATATTTGTGGTGAGCTCAAAGTTGATCAAAGGTAAGTTGAACAAGTGACATCACTTGAATTTCTTCTACAGAAAAACTCTGAGTCACAAAGAATATGTCTCACCTTCTTCTCATTGTGTCTGTCTGTCTGTCTGCCTATCTGTCTGCCTGTCTGTCTCTCAGAGAAGAGCCAGCAAGAAGCGTTGGAGTATTTCACCAAACAGATGAACGACGCTCATCACGGAGGATGGAGCACCAAGATGGACTGGATCTTCCACACCATCAGACACATGCCCAACGAACACTAACATATATATACTCTAACATTATTCAAACGACTCATACTGAACGGTTTAATATGAAGATGTACATAGTTACAGCCTTAAAAATGAATAACAACTGTGGCGCCACAATGTGGTTATAAGGTGGTATTTCAGCTGCAGGACAGCAGTGAAGGCCCAGGTATAAAATGCACGGCCCGCCACTGGTATATATATATACTTATATGTATATTTATGTATACAACACATAAACACACACACACCACGCTGCGTATCTACTGCACTACTGTGAGGATGACTATGATGTTTTATCATGACATCATGTAGGTGGGCTGGTTGTCATAACAACATGAAAGGGTCACAGGTCAGAGTCAAAGGCATGCTGGGAAAAGACAATGATGATGTCATAACTGTCTTCCAGTCGAGTTAGCCTGTTAGCTCTGCTAGTTGATCTAAATACAGACTGAGCTTTTCAAAAGAGAAAACTTTATTAGCGTAGCATTTGAATCAAACCTTATTGAGTAGCAGCTGTAACTTTATAAACTGAACCAGCAAAGTGAACACTGTGGTCACTGTGAGAGCAATAAAACCTCCAATAACTGATCAATACTTTGATTATGACAATCAGGAGTTGTGACCAGCTGTCAGCACAGTCATGATAGTGAGATCAGACCAAAGTAAACAATCATGTTTCTGTAAACACGACGACTTTAAAACTTCTTCAGATTTATGATGAAAAAGTTCAGATGATCAGAAAATGTCTGTGATTCAAACCATTGTGATAACATGGCTTTTTCTACAGTAATATTACAATATATCATTTGTTGTCTCTCTTATGATGAAGTATTAGGACTTTTTTCTCATAACATTTCAACTTTACTCTCCTACTATTTACTTTGTCCTTTTAGAACTCTTTCCTACTTTAATTACTATTCCCAGTAGAATCTCAGCTTTATTTCGACTTTTGTTGTTTTCCTTTCCAGTGGCCCTAATACTTAATCATATAAAGTCCTTTGCACTGATAGAGTGATTATAAATGTAAAGTCAACGGTTAATAACAGACTCAAGTCTGATGTGAACTCCGAAGGCTTAAATTATTTTTAAATTTGAAAGTGTTCTAGTGTGATATTTGCTCTGAATTGATCTGAATTCAGTTTCAATTGATTTCCACTTCCTCAACATATCAAGTTTAATCAGGGCTCAAAGTGTTTCCATGACAATCTGAACCAATCAGCTACTCGTTAGCCGTTAGCTGAATTAGGTCTTTAGCCTCGAGTGCACTCTATCGAGTGAACCATGCTAGGCTAGTTGTCAGCCTGTTAGGACTCTAATCCATTATTAGCTTAACTGTTGCACAGGATAAATGAATGGTGGGAAGTTTAGTTAGTGTAGCATAGCATAGCATCAGTGGACGCTCCACCAGGGGGCGGGGCCAGACGGGTAAAAGAGTTACGATTTAATATGAACATTTGTGTTTGTTTCTGCTCAGGTCAGATGTTAGTCTAAGCCCCGCCCACACATCAGTAACTATGACCTGATTCATGACATCATCAACAGGCCTGGTTACCATAGTGACTGAATATGTGAGCAACAATATGTGTGTTTTCCATGTGATCAATATTATCGATTGATATTTAAACTGATGTAGTAAACAGTTTCTTGTGAACATTATTGATTCAAACCTCCACCGTCTCTCACGATGTATCGAGGATTCAGAGCCGACGCCCACAGACAACAGGTTCTGCCAATCAGAGGGCTTGTACAGTCCCCACGACCATATATGGTGTTAAAGAACTGTTTTTAAACTGAACTTTACAACGAGGCACCTCGGGGGCGGTGCCTGTTGTGTGACATCACACTGCAGGATCCAGGTGTGACACAAGATGCACTTATTGATCTCTGACTTTCATGGATTATCATGTAATTTCAAAATAAAAGCTCAACTGGTGTTCTGTGTGGTTGGTGACCTTCAGTCAAGACTCACCTGTGACAGGTGTACAGCAGTAGACTCACCTATGACAGGTGTACAGCAGCATGATGACGTAGCAAGTCCTAGTTGAATGAATACTGTGTGTGTGACAGTGTGTAACAGGGTGTGACATTGTGTAACATTGTGTGACTGTGTGTAACATTGTGTGACAGAGTGTAACAGTGTGTAACAGGGTGTGACTGTGTGCACTTTGTCAGGGCGCTTCAGTATGAAGTGAAAGAAAAATGATTAATAATTCAGTGGTGACAAAGACGAGCTGCAGAAGAAATGCTTGATGGGAAACAACTCATTGGGAGCTTTTAACTCTTCAATTGGCTCCACACACACACACAAACACACACACAGACACACACACACACATAAACACACGTACACACACACACACACACACACACATATTTACATACACATACACACACATACATACACATACACACACAGAGTCATAAAGTTTAATCTGATCCACGTGCATTATGGGAAGTGTTTAATCTCTTTTTGGTCTCGTTTGATAAAGAGATCGTTTTCTCTAAAATGTCCCTTCTCCCCTCCCGTCCACTGATCCCGCACATGCGCACTGATCAAAACCGTGAACATTTGAGCCGCAGATTCACGAGGAGACAGAAAGAGGACAATAAAGTGAAATAATAAAGTATATAAAAGAGGGAATAAAGAGACGAGAGTCTGACGGAGGAGGGATGAACCAGCTGGAGTGGTAAGACTCACATTCAGTTGGTAAATAACCTGTAAATATCCGGTACGAACCGGAGCTAACAGCTAACAGTTAGCATCAGATGGTCGAGTCTCTGTTTTAATGACGTAACGTTAGAACGACAGTTACACGTGTGCGGTGACTCTGTTGTTGTTTACAGCTGTTTGTTATTTAATGTCAATAAATCAGATCTGATCAGGTTATCGATCATCAGAGAGTCTGTCATCTAAACCAGTGGTTCTCAACTGGTCTGGCTGCGGGACCCACCATCACCCCTTAATGACAAGCCGCGACCCACTACCCAAATTATATATATATATAAAAGTTGGGTATATCTATATTCAAGAAGAGTAGTAACGTATCTGTGTAGTAAACAACTGCCAAATTAAATAAAGAAAGTACACATCAATTATATTTTAACAATTATTATTCTAATTTTTCAAATGTAACTGGATGGATTATAAATAATGCATAGAAATACATGAATAAATGTTGTCATTTCAAGTAAAATAACGGCTGGATTAAAAAATAAATTTCGTAACGAAATTAATTTTAGAAAAATTATTTTCACTGAATTGCCCTGCAGCTTAAATTCAGTTCATTCAGGATGAAGTGAAAAAGCCACAATATTATATTTTTCTCATCTTCTAAAGAGAGAATTTAGTGTTGGAAGAATTCACCTATATGACTCTGGTCTCTCTGGCCAATTTTCTCTTTTGGATATTGTCCTATGATTCGACTTTCACACCTCTCACCTCAGCAGTCCTGCTCTGCTGTCTATATCCTCGTCTCTCCCCCGTGTGTCACGGTGTGTGTACATCTCACTCAAGTCAGGAAAGTTGTCAGAATGCCCATATTTGATTGGATGAGCTGCATCACCTGATGCGCATTGGTCGGTGTTTTTCCTGCACCGCTGAACAAGTTCCGTAAATGCTGGAATAATTCCGCTGCATAAAAAATGCCCTTCAAAATAAAATCACATTTTTTTTTTTTTGTCAGTCAAAGGCCCGCGACCCACTGAAAACCACCAGTTGAGAATCACTGATCTAAACCTTATATATATATATATAACAGGTGTGTTCTACCTGTTAGGATCTATAGATCTATAAGATCCACTTCCTGTTAAACATCACACCAGCTGTGATTAGTGCTCGTGATTCTCATTTCATCAACGAGACCCTGAACCTTACTTTAGCATGTTAGCATGTGATGCTAACAGACTGTTTGTGTTTCAGTTCAAGAGACGAGGAGGACCAGGAAGAGACAGAGTGTCACCATGACAACAGTGACGGGACCAACAACAACAACAACAACAACCGACGCAAGGTGAGACGAGCTACTAACCTGTCTGTCTCTCTGTGCAGACGGTGTGTCCAGGTAAACATGAACCTGTCTGTCTCTCTGTGCAGACGGTGTGTCCAGGTGTAGGTGAACATCCCCTCCAGTATAACTACACCTTCTGGTACAGCAGAAGAACTCCGAGTCGTCCTGCAAGTTCTCAGAGTTACGAACAAAACATCAGACAGATCGGCAGCGTGGCATCGGTACGAACACTCACACACAAAAGGCAGAGTTTAATCAAACAGTAGATTAAGTTAAGTAGATGAACCCCTAACCCCAACAGTTAATTAATGAGAAAATGACTTGTTCAGATGATTAAGAGCTTTTTAATATCAACAGTTTGATGTGTTTTTAAGACAGAACACGTGTTTACTGATGGATAAACCAGCTCATCATAGAGCAATACATCAGCTGTGTGTGTGTGTGTGTGTGTGTGTGTGTGTGTGTGTGTGTTCAGGTGGAGCAGTTCTGGAGGTTTTACAGTCACCTGGTGAGACCAGGTGACCTGAGTGGACACAGTGACTTCCACCTGTTCAAGGAGGGAATCAAACCCATGTGGGAGGTAACAACACTCTGTAGTTACACTATTAAATACTGCAGTATTACTGTTAAAATACTGTTCTAATACTGCAGTATTACTGTTAAAATACTGTTCTAATACTGCAGTATTACTGTTAAAATACTGTACTGATGCTGCAGTATTACTGTTAAGATACTGTACTAATGCTGCAGTATTACTGTTAAAATACTGTACTAATGCTGCAGTATTATTGTTAAAATACTGTACTAATGCTGCAATATTACTTTTAAAATACTGTTCTAATGCTGCAGTATTACTGTTAAAATACTGTACTAATGCTGCAGTATTACTGTTAAGATACTGTACTAATGCTGCAGTATTACTGTTAAAGTACTGTTCTAATGCTGCAGTATTACTGTTAAAGTACTGTTCTAATGCTGCAGTATTACTGTTAAAATACTGTACTAATGCTGCAGTATTACTGTTAAAATACTGTACAAATAAGGCACCATTATATTTGTTACACTGTAGTTAAACTGCAGTGCTTTAATATTGTGGTTCGGTTGCTGTTTTACATATTGTACTCTCTCTCACCTGTCTCTCTCTCTCTCACCTGTCTCTCTCTCACCTGTCTCTCTCACCTGTCTCACCTGTCTCTCTCTCATCTGTCTCACCTGTCTCTCTCTCATCTGTCTCACCTCTCATCTGTCTCACCTGTCTCTCTCTCTCTCTCTCACCTGTCTCACCTGTCTCACCTGTCTCTCTCTGACCTGTCTCTCTCTCTCACCTGTCTCTCTCTCACCTGTCTCACCTGTCTCTCTCATCTGTCTCACCTCTCATCTGTCTCACCTGTCTCTCTCTCTCTCACCTGTCCCTGTCTCTCTCTCTCTCACCTGTCTCACCTGTCTCACTCTCACCTGTCTCACCTGTCTCTCTCTCACCTGTCTCTCTCTCTCACCTGTCTCACCCCCTCACCTGTCTCACCCTCAGGATGATTCTAACCGCAGTGGGGGGAAGTGGATCATTCGTCTCCGTAAAGGTTTAGCCAGTCGATTCTGGGAGAACATCATACTGGCCATGATGGGAGAGCAGTTCATGGTGGGAGAAGAGATCTGTGGAGCAGTGGTCTCCATACGCTTCCAGGTACTAATACTCTAGTACTACTACTGAACAACTGCTGCAGTGTTACTGTAGTAAAACCACAGGACTATTACTACAAACACTATATCTACTGCAGTACTAATACTTTAGTACTACTACTGAACAACTGCTGCAGTGTTACTGTAGTAAAACCACAGGACTGTTACTACAAACACTATATCTACTGCAGTATTAGTAGAGCAGCATCTCAGGATCTGTGGAGCAGCGGTCTCTATACACTTCCAGGTACTACTATACTCTAGTACTATGGCTACTGCAGTTATATTGCAGTACAAGTACACTGATACTCTGCGGCATGTTTCCGTCAACAGTGACATACAGGAGCCGTACAGAAAGTTTGATCCTTAAAAGTCTGATCTGGATCAGATCTGGATCTGGTTCAAGAGTAACAAAGTAAATCTGAGAACCTGCCTGTCCACCCACTTCTCTTTCTTCCTGTCTGTCTGTCTTTTCTTCCTGTCTGTCTGTCTTCTCTTCCTGTCTGTCTGCCTTCTCTTCCTGTCTGTCTGCCTTCTCTTCCTGTCTGTCTGCCTTCTCTTCCTGTCTGTCTTCTCTTCCTGTCTGTCTGTCTTCTCTTCCTGTCTGTCTTCTCTTCCTGTCTGTCTGCCTTATCTTCCTGTCTGTCTGTCTTATCTTCCTGTCTGTCTCTATCTATCAGGAGGACATCTTGTCGATCTGGAACAGAACATCCAACGACCAAACAACAACATCCAGAATCAGAGACACTCTCAGACGAGTTCTGAACCTTCCAGCCAACACCATCATGGAGTACAAGACCCACAACGACAGTCTCAGGTACTACTACTATGACTACTACTGTAATACACCATCATGGAGTACAAGACCCACAACGACAGTCTCAGGTACTACTACTACTATGACTATTACAGTAGTAGTACTACTGTAAAGCACCATCATGGAGTTAGATGTTGTATTTTGATGGAGTTCAGATATAACACTACAGTTTAAATGTGAACTTCAGCTGAAGTAACATTGTGTTTTCACGTGTCTTTGTGAAAAGCAAGAGGTGGTAAATCTTCACACCCATGAGCAAGGCAGCACTGCCCTCTGCTGGACAAGGGAAGCAAGATGGTCTTCATGTTTCATGGTGAAACTGATTATGAACCTTAAACGCTGTTCTATTAAAGCTCAAACTGCAAAGCTTTAGGGTTCTACTGACCAGAGTTGAAGTTGATGGTTTGAATCTCCAGAAGTTCGTACAGAGCTCTGAAATGGCCAAAATAAATGGCCGAGTTCCTGCTGTATTTCCAGCGTGGGTCATGTGATACATGTGCCTCCTAAATCTCCTAAACGTACTGTGTTCATATTTTAACCTTATTACTCCAGAGAACACGTTTATCACTCTTTATGTGTTTTCAAGCTTCTCAAAAAAACACTTCCTTTTTCATGCCAACTAATACATACATCACCACGGCAACGGGTTCCTAATTTGAGGTGGATCTGGAACTGAAGAACCAGGTTCACAAGTGAAAACCTGATCCGGACTTTAACGTACTCGCTCTCTGTGTTTCAGGGACAACTCGAGCTTCAGAAACACCAAGATTTCTCTCTGAAGAAGAACGTCACTCTTGTCCAATCGGGAGGCAGATGGATTACAGTGTGTGTGTGTGTGTGTGTGTGTGTGTGACTGTAATGTAATGTTCACTGTGGACCAATAAACTGACAGAACTGAGGTTGTGTCCCTGTTTTCTTGTTTCCAGCATTGATTAGTGATCAGCAGCATCACAGTGAGACCAGTACTAGTACTGGCACCAGTACCAGTGCTAGTACTGGTACTAGCACTGGTACTTTTGTTTTATTTGTTCCAATAAAATGTAATTTTCTGTTAATTCCTCGTTTAGTCTTTTCCCATCTTATGAAGTATTTAAGTGATGTGTGACAATGGGAAATACAAAGTAGATGTACTTTGTATTAAGTGATAAATACATCGATGAAGTCAGTACAGTTCTGAAGTTACAAAGTAATTATATTCAGGAATAACAAGAACGAGGATAAATTGCATTCTGCCCTCTGGTGGCTGAGAAGGTTCGCTCACCTTTACTCAACACGGATCAGAACACATTACACTGAACTGCACTTCATGTGATCTCTGAACCACGTAGAAACAGAACAAATTACCTCCAATAAAAGCAGCTTCATCAACACACTGTGTATGTGTTGTCTTCGGTTCTGAGCGGTCAGAGTGCCGTTGAGCCAGGCACTTCTCCTGAATGAGTCATTACATTTCCATCTGAGCAGCACTTTGACCCAGCTGGCACCATCCCAGTATTCAAACCCATGCAGGCTCTTCTTCAGGCAAGTTAGTGCAGGTCTAATCTTGCCTCTATTCCTGGCCCCAGACCAGCTGGGAGCTGTGATCTCAGAGGATGGACGTAATCCAGATCAGGATTAACAGATCAGCCTCCACCAATGGAACCGACCAGCGCACACTGCAGCACTAGAACTCTGCACATACACTAGAACTCTGCAGCACTAGAACTCTGCAAATACACTAGAACTCTGCAACCCTGCAGAACCCTAAAACACTGCAGAACTCTAAAACACGGCAGAACCCTAAAACTCTGCAGAACCCTAAAACAGCAGACTTCTGCAACCCTGCAGAACCCTAAAACAGCAGAACCCTGATACACTGCAAAACACTGCAGAACCCTAAAACACTGCAGAACTCTGAAACACTGCAGAACCCTAAAACACAGCAGAACCCTGCAACCCTGCAGAACCCTAAAACACAGCAGACCCCTAAAACACTGCAGAACCCTAAAACACTGCACAACTCTAAAACACTGCACAACCCTAAAACACTGCAGAACCCTAAAACATTGCAGAACCCTGAGACACTGCAGAACCCTAAACACAGCAGAACCCCAAAACACTGCAGAACCCCAAAACACTGCAGAACCCCAAAACACTGCAGAACTCTAAAACACAGCAGAACCCTAAAACAGCAGAACCCGAAAACACAGCAGAACCCTGATATACTGCAGAACCCTGCAGTACCCTAAAACACTGCAGAACTCTGCAACACAGCAGAACCCTAAAACAGCAGAACCCTGAGGCACTGCAGAACCCTAAAACACAGCAGAACCCTGAGACACTGCAGAACCCTGAGACACTACAGAACTCTGCAACACTGCAGAACTCTAAAACATTGCAGACCCCTAAAACACTGCCGAACCCCAAAACACTGCAGAACTCTAAAACACTGCAGAACCCTAAAACACTGCAGAACCCCAAAACACTGCAGAACCCCGAGACACAGCAGAACCCCGAGACACAGCAGAACCCTAAAACACAGCAGAACCTTGATGCACTGCAGAACCCTGCAGACCCCTAAAACACTGCAGAACTCTGCAACACTGCAGAACCCTAAAACACAGCAGAACCCTGAGACACTGCAGAACCCTAAAACACAGCAGAACTCTGCAGAACCCGAAAACACAGCAGAACCCTGATACACTGCAGAACTCTGCAACACTGCAGAACCCTAAAACACAGCAGAACCCTGACACTGCAGAACCCTAAAACAGCAGAACCCCGATACACTGCAGAACTCTACAACATGGCAGAACTCTAAAACACTGCAGAACCCTAAAACACTGCAGAACTCTAAAACACTGCAGAACCCTAAAACACTGCAGAACCCTAAAACACTGCAGAACTCTGCAACACTAGAACTCTATAACCCTGCAGAACCATTTGGTTGGTGGGTCAGTGTTGCTGTCCATGGCGTGGTTAACGTTGGTGTAGTGTTGAATCTTGGGCTTCACTTTTCTTGAACGCTGACTTCTGGATGTCTTCAGAGGTTATGAAATATGACTTCTGGATGTGTCTTCAGAGGTGATGAAATATGATTTAGTACTTTTCTCTTGATTGGATGAACTCAGCTGCTTAACTTTGTTCCGAAGCTATCATTAAAGCGATGCTTGCTGGTTCTAACGTATCTCTTCAGCTAACAGATCAGTACTGGTAGCTAATGGTGAAGGTACCCAGTTCTGCACCTCGTTGTAGTTCTAGTTGACCCACATCTCTTCGTCCTGTTGGTGAAGCAATGAGTTGCTGAACGTGTTGCTGAACATGTTGCTGCCCATGACAGGCGATTGTAAACAACAACAGGTAAGATGGTGGTTCTGTCAGTTATGACGTCACATCTACCGTTTTATGCCTCAAACGCTGCACAACACTGACTGATGATGCAAACATTTTTGATTTGTTTTACTCAAAGTTGAACACACTCACCTGTCCACAGGTAGACCGGAGAGAGGTTGATGACGTCATCAGTCAGGAACATTAAGTTTGAGGTAATGACCTCAGAGAGATTCAACAGGTAAGAAGGTCAGACCTTCACTCTCTCACACACACACACACACACACAGTCATCCTCTCATTACAGACTTACCTGAAGCCAAACTTCCTCCTGAACTCTAAACAGGATTAAACCAAAGCCTCTGTGATGTCTCCCTCTCATTCGACCTGACATCAGCTCTTTCTGCAGCTCATCGTTCATTTGTTCTTCTGAAGGAACTTTTCTGTATCGATTGAAGAAGATTCTGTTTGGACAGATGAATCTTTGAGTCAAAGGTAAACACTGAGTGTTGGTGATAGTCTGTCTGTAGCTGGTTTCATGTGTTCTGAGATGTTTAGATGTGTGATGTGAAGGCTGTGTAGTGTCAACACAAGAACTTAGATTGTTAGTTATTATGTTGGATGTAGTTCTATACCTACAGGTGCTTTATCACCTGCTATCAAACAAGTTCAATTTAGTGAAACTGAAGATAGAAATTGTCCGGTTGTATCTAATGAAATTAAAAATGTCTTATCTACTGATATGATGAGACTCAGAGTGACAGAATGAGAAAGTTGTTGTAAATCAGCCAATCAAGGAGCTGCAGTTTTGTTCTGACAAATTTAATTTACAGTCTTTGTGTGTGTGTGTGTGTGTGTGTGTGTGTGTGTGGTTTAATTTGATTAGATTAAAGGTGTCAACTGAAGCTCTTCAGCTCTGATTTCACCTTGAAACTATTTAACGATGAAATCTGATGAGCCCGGTTTTATCTGAAGAGAAAACACGTCTTTTACTGAATATTTATAACGCTATCTTATATAATGTGGTAAAGGTGTACTCTGAAAAGTACCCGGCTTGGGTTGGGGACTCTTCTACTGGAGGATTTCAATGCTCAAGGGGGCACTGGAGGAACCTGGAGGAACTGAGCCTGATCTGAAGCCAAGTGGTGCCTTGCTGTTGGACGTGCTGGTCATGGTGTTTGACTATAACAAACACCATGTGTGGTCACAGGGCGGTTCATACGTGTACTAGAGACCAGAACACCAGAGGACAAAGATGGTAGCTCAACTTTGCGGTCGTTTCATCAGACCTGCAGTCGTAAGTCTTGGACACTCGGGTGAAGAGAGTGAAAACGTTAAAGAGTCGTAGTCGTAGTTTCCTGTACGGAAAGAGGCATCTCTTATCTTTCAGCATCTGCGGCAGCATAATGTGCGTCCACATGTTGCATCAGTGCAGAGGAGAGAGTCGTACTACCGACACACGTGGCCGGCTGTGGAGCTGCTGAGATGATCATTGCTGGTAGAAATCCAGGAGAACATCAAACGGCAGAAAGAAATTCAGAGCAGCTTAATCTGAGTCTTTATGTATTAGATGAGGACGGAGACAGAGGCAAAGTGACAAGAGCCATCAGAGGACACTATCAGACTCCAGGAGACTCCTCCAGTCACCTTATCCTCATCTTCACCTTATCCTCATCTTCATCTTCACCACATCCTCATGTTCATCTTCATCTTCACCACATCTTCATCTTCATCAGTGTCATTCATTCATATTCACATTATTCATAAAATGACATCATCGACAAAATAACTCAGTAGAAACGTTACTGCAGATGTAGAAACACAAAAGCAGTTGATTTACCAAAGCTGCTGTTCACAAAGACAAAGTCCATCCTCCTTTCTTCCTCCTTTCTTCCTCCTTTCTTTGTTAAAGTCAGTAACTCCTAAATCCACTTCTCCTCCTTCAGCCATTGAGTGTTAAAAAAACAAAGAAAAAATAAGAATCTACAGCAAGCAAAACGCTAAAAATGTCAAAACTTCTCTTATGTTTCAACCTGAACTCTTACTAAACACTAAGATCTGCTAGCTAGCTTTCTGTTTGACAAAAGTCACGCTGGCCCACTGACCAATCACAGCGCACGTTAATGCAGACGTACTTAGAGGCTACCTGGGTACCACTGACACGTCAAAGAACACGCCCAACATGTCAAACTAAAGATCTGATTGGGTTGAACACTATGACAATCAACAATATCGTCCCCATTCACTTAAACTGCACATGGATGCACTTGCGAGTCTGCAGGCCTCGGGCCTCTGTTCTTACCTAGAGACACAGAGGTGAGATCTGATTGGATAAAAGCTCTGCTTAAAACAAGCTGCACTGGAAGCAGAGCAACTGAGGAAGACAGGAGCTGTGCAATGAGGACATAAGATAATGGGGAAAATATTTATATAAATTATAATACATGTAGTGTATTTAAGAACAATTATAAAATTATAAAATAGATATAACTGTGTGATTGTGTCTAGGCCAGCAGAGAAGGCTTAGCTGGCCCTGACGGCCCACCACTGGTGTATATACAGTTTGAGTTTCTGAATGTCACTCAGTCACTCACGTCACTTCTGATCTAAACAAACCACTCTGAGACATGTTCATACTAGATGCAGCTATTTTTGAACTGAATCATTTTTATTTCCCACTCTGAACTGAATTAAACTCTTTTGTTGTTGTTTATTTTCTAAAATCCAGGATGCAGCTTCCCAGGTGGTTGCTAGGGGCGTGGCTGTGGTTGCTATGCATTCCTGAAATCTGGACAGCAACCTTTAAGCTGGCCCTGATAGGTCCGTGGTCATGTGACCCCATGTTCTCCCGGGCGATGCCGACCGCGGCGGCTAACCTGGCGTTGTCACGTTTACGGAGCGACATCAGTCTGAACAGAGGATACTGGTACGACATCAAGCTGCTGGATGAGGACTGCTCCGCCTCCAAAGGTTCGCTAGCCAATCAACGAAGAGTTCATCAATTCAATCATGAGCAGAAAGTTGACATGAAATTAAATTATTAGATTGTGATATAAAATATGTCGATTAAAGTAAGAAACATTGACATTTATTCCACTGATTCCTGGTCGTCTCGTTAAAGGTTTTACCGTCACCTGTGACTTCTTCTTCTTTGCTTTATTACAGCTCTGACAGAACTTGGGGACATGGAGGGTTATGGCCACGCCTACATTGGACTCTTTAACCCTGCCCTCTGTCATGCTGCCTCCTTATTGGCTCAGCACTGGGAGGCGGGGCTTGCCTCTCCAGGCTGTTTGGATGCTGATTGGCCAAACCTGGCCCCCGTCACTCCTCCCAGCAGAGTCCTGTTCACTGTGCTCAGATTCTTCCGCTGGGCTCATGTGGCCGTCATCTCAGGTGAGTGTGTGATGTCATTGAAGGGCGCAGCTGTATTCTAACATGAAGAGATGATGTCACTGTAGAGTTTAGTCTAACATGAAGAGATGATGTCACTGTAGAGTTTAGTCTAACATGAAGAGATGATGTCACTGTAGAGTTTAGACTAACATGAAGAGGTGATGTCACTAACATGAAGAGATGATGTCACTGCAGGGCTTCTCACTTTGTCTTTCTTCTTCCTGTTTGGTCATCAGCACCATCTGACCTATGGGAGAGCACCGGACAGGAAGTGGCCTCGGCGCTGAGGGCTCTGGGCCTGCCCATTGGTCCGGTGGTCACCATGGAAACAAAGAACAAGGGCGGACCCCGGGAGGCCCTCAAATCGATCAGAG